TTGAAGCGCTCCTGGAGCGCTCTTGGGGCCGTCTTCGGGGCCCTCTTGGGCAATCTTGGGCGCCTCTTGGGCTGTCTTGGGGCTCTCTTGGGCTGCCTTGGAGCTTCCCTGGAGGCTGCTTGGACCGTCTTGGGGCGGTATTTAGGGCCTCTTGGGCCGTCTGGGAGCGTCGGAAAGCCCAAAAAGCGAATTCGTGAAAAATGTACGTTTTACGAAGGGAATGGGCCAATTTTTGCGTCTAGGGACCCTCGTGGGACGCATCTTGGAGGCCTCTTGGGGCCTCTTGGGGACCTCTTGGGCCGTCTTGGAGGCCTCTTAGCCCGTCTTTGAGCCATCTTGGGCGTCTGGGAGCGCTCGTTTGGCGTCTCGGGGCTCCCGTGGGCCGTCTTGAAGGCCTCTCTGGGCCATCTTGGCCCGTCTTGAGGCTTCCTGGGGCCCGGAAAAGCCCCGGCGGCGCTCGTCCCGGGCCCGGGGGGGGCGCTCGTCCCGGGCCCCGGGGGGGCGCTCGTCCCGGGCCCGGGGGGGGCGCTCGTCCCGGGCCCGGGGGAGGCGCTCGTCCCGGGCCCGGGGGGGGGGGGTCAAATCGCCGGTTTGGGGCCCCGGGGGGGGGACTATAGGGGGGGGAACTATCTCACACGCCTAGAGACCCACAAGGGGTCGGCGGACTCCATGAGTACATTTCTTAGCCTTTCTTGCGGTGCTAGAGAAATCGCTCCGTGCGTGGCGGGGGGGCATTTTCCTGGGATGGACCACCCCCAAGGACAGCAAACGAACACCTCATTTTCTTCAAGGGTTGCAATAGAACTCGTATAGGGCTGGGGCGGTGGGCAGAAAGAGAAAGGAATGCCTGGACTCAAGCCTGACCCTTCGCAGTTTTGGAACTTTTGCCAGTAGTTGCCACTACTACTAATCATAAAGCTATTGTTCTTACTTCTTCCGCTACTGCTCACTGCCGCTACTACTGCTTCGGCCGCATTGCAAGTCTAACGGCTGCTATTTCTACCACCAATATCGTATTAGTTAAGGTGTTTTTCATTTACCTCTCCTGCTGTTACTCAAAATGGTACTGCCATTTTTGTTGTTGTTTTCTTTCTTGATTTTTTACAGATTTCCAAAAATACTACGACTATTTCTGCTACTGCCACAGAATACCGTTGTAACCACCGAGTAGCACTACTACTGTTAAGTACTACTATTGTTACCCGCATGAAGCACTACGGCATCTTACTCATCCGGCCTCGTTTTTTTGACGTGGAACAGCCATGGCCACACGCGCTGCCCCTCAGGCTGTTAGAGTCTCATGTCTTTCGGGTTGCCGCCCGTGCTAAAATTTTGTGCGTTAGTACTAGTCTGTAGGAGTAGTAGTCGTGCTGCTACTACAGTCTGTCTCCGAAGCCGTGGTTGTACTCTGTACGACGACGACGGCTACTACTACTAGTACTATTATTTTTCTACCACTACCCCCACTACTACTACTACTACTACTACTACTACTACTGTTACTACTACTACTACTACTGCTACTACTACTACTACTACTACGACGACTACTACTACTACTATTACTATTATTACTACTACTGCTACTACTACTACTACTACGACTACTACTACTACTATCTCCATTCCTACGCCTACGATTGCTATTCTTAGTGCTAGTACTATTGCTACTTCTACTGCTACTACTACTACTGCTACTACTACGGCGGCTACTACTGCTACTACTATTACTACTACTACTACTACTACTACTACTACTACTACTGCTACAATAGCAACAACAACCACTACTACCATTGCTACTACTACTACTACTACTACGACTACCACTACTATTACTACTTCTACTGCTACTACTACTACTGCTACTACTACTACTACTACTACCACTGCTGCTACTACTACTATTACCACCACTACTACTACTACTATTACTACTACTACTACTACTACTACCACTACTACTACTACTACCACTACTACTACTACCACTACTACTGCCACTATTATTTCTACGATTCCTCGTATTGCCACTACTTTTACTACTGCTACTGCTACTGCTACTGCTACTGCTTCTGCTACTGCTATTATTACTACTACTTTTACTACTACTACTGCTACTACTACTGCTACTACGACTACTACTACTACTACTACTACTACTACTACAACTACTAGGGTCACACCTGATTTGTTGCCGGTGATGTTTGGGTTTGGGTTTGGGTTTGGGCTTGGGTTTGGCTTTGGGTTTGGTTTTCTTTGTGGTCTATTGAGAACCAATTGTTTTAATTCGTTTTCTATTGAAAACCAATGGCTTGGCTTCGTGTTCTATTGAACACCTATAGTTTTAATTAGTTTTCGATTGGGAACCAATGGTTGTTATTCGTTTTCTATTCGGAACCAATGGTTTTTAATAGTTTTCTATTGGGAACCAGTGGTTTTTATTAGTTTTCGATTGGGGACTAATTTTTTCAATTAGTTTTCTATTGGGAACCAATGG